TTTCAGGCCTTTCTTCCTTGTCCTCTTTAGTGCAGAAGTTCTGTGGAATCTGGATGAGCATGACTGGAACAGGCTCGTCTCTCCTGATAGCTGGGCAGTGGCTGCACGTGTGGTACACTAGCTAGGAACTGAACCGGCTCGTCCATGTGGGAGGTGAGACTTGCATTTTGGTGTAAATCTTGGTTTATATCTTGGTGTATTCAAGTTTACCTAGCACTTCTGTGTCTCATGGTCCTAGACTTGGGGGAGGCGCCTCCCTTTGTGAGTGATCCACGTAACCCCATTTGGTGAGCTGTCTGCTTGGGGCTCTCAGTTGAGAGGGGTCCCTGCTCCCACCCCAATCTACAAAGGCTCGACTCATCCTCATTGGAGGGGTCTTTTATCCGTATAGCAAGAGTCAGAGTACGTTAAAACGTTTGTTTTTTTAATTTGAGACACAAAAATGCAAAATTGCTGAGCTATCAAACATTTCCCGATGAGCTACAATACTGCAGTATGTACAAAAGACCTGATGATGAATAGGCACACATATAAAAACACGTATGTACCACCTATATACAGTACATGTGCAAAACGCATGGCATTTCACCACGATAGGGGATTGCTCTTGGGTGCAAACAGCAAATACAAAGGCATCGTGGTTTTCCTTTTGAAAAAACAACAGAAAGGCAGTCCACAGATGGACCCCTGATTGCCGTCATTGTGGATTGGTGTCTTTCTCCTTTTCTTCAGACAGTGAGATGCTAAGACATGTGACAATGAAAGTAAGAAGGGAAACACCGATCACGTTGAGCGGGCCTATTGCAATAAGAAAACAAATTTCTATGTAGAAAGGAAGAAAACAAACACAACTTTGTGTTACTACTAAATATGTATTATCCTTAAACCAACAAAACCAATCTACGCTATTTTACAGGAAAACAAGATAGAAATATCTACATCTTTGTGAAAATGATAACAAGTGGATAATACCTTTTTGGGACTGATTTTTGCACTCTTTAGTCTCAACCTTTAAGTAAAAAGTGCCTCCTTTTGGCAAATACTTGGCAATGCCTTTGGTTCCTTTGAAGCAAGTTTTGCATTCCTAATGGTTACTTGACATGAAGTACTTTTGGTAGATACTAACTAAACCCTTTCCTGAACAGGACCTCCCCTTTCCTCCCAAATTAGTGAGTGTTCTGACAGAGCTACTTAAGAGAGGTAATTGTTACATGAGTTTCAGTGGTTTGATAGACTTTGTCAGAGCCTTCTTGTAGGAGTTGGCATAAAGCTCTGCTGTTTTGACATCACCAATAACGTGTTTCTATTGACTTCAGACAGCACCGTGAAGATCTGAGATTACCACCTGTGGTCACAAAATTGTGACAGTTTCCAATAATGACCCACAGAGCTGAGTTTGGATAAGAGCTCTTGTGTAAACATGTGCAGCTTTTTCAATGATAGAACTCGAATGAAAGGTTTTGGGTAGAAACACATTTCCCCAGATACATTGAGAAAAAGTGAAGTTGGGGGTGTGTGTGATAAGAGGGGGTCGGGGTGGACCTACTAAAGCAGCCCAGCAAGATGTCTGTGAAATTAATGAGTTCTTGAAAGTCTGAGTCAGGAAAAAATGTCTATACCTTGTTGTTTTCCAGTTTTGACTGAAATCACTTAAAACGATGAGCGGAAATGCAGGTAGGATGCTCTCTGAAGACACACTGATGCACACTTAACCACATTTACTATTAAAACGGACCTTCCAGTTGAGGTTCGCTGGTAACTTGGGGCTCAACGTGTGCCATGTGGGGCAGTAGGACAGTTTGTGCAGGATTCTGCTCCATGGCTGGGATGCAGCGGTCACATTTGCAGGGGTGGATAGCAAAACAGTGAGGGTTATTTGTGAATTTGGTTAAAGTAGCCTCTGTTGTCCTGGTGGTAAGACCCGATTAGCAATTCTCTTGCTATTTCTCTAGGAGTTGTCAGTGGTTCCTCGAGACCTCCAGGCCTTCTGGGATGCTGACCAAGCACAGGCTCCTGAAAGAAAAGGTGCCCCCCCACCCCTGCTCTGAAGACAGTACAGGTACTGTGACACATTTGTGGGGACCCTGTTGTCTAGAAGGGTGTGAATGAGGGCAGAGGAAGCCTGAGTCAGCTCTGATGACCACAGGACAGCTCAGCTTTCAGCAGGTCACAGCGTGGCGCCAACCCCTACTTGTGGACTGCACTCAGAAACTCGAAAGGTCAGTTACCTGGGATACAGAAGCACGCAATTCCTTAAAAAAAGGGAAATTGATGCCAGCTCTTTTAGTATTACAAAAATAGTCCTAAAATAAACACAAATAGTGTATCTGAGCAAGATAGTCCATACAGTCAGCTACATCTAAGTGTAAATACGTGGCACTGCTGCCCAGCGGACTGCACGTTTCTGAGAAGCCTGCTGTCCTGGGTAGCAGAACTCTGTGGACTGCGCGAAGTGCGCGAAGCTGCGATAGGTCCCGTAGTGTTTCAGTAGGAACGAAAGCTTGGGCTGAGAGAACAGCTGATTTCTTGGCAGTGTAGGATAGTCTGCAACGGGCTATGCAGAGCGCCCATTCTAAGCTCCTGACATGCACTGAGGGTGTCAGCAGGCTGGGCTGGCCTGTGTTTTGATAGCTGGGAGGCTAACAAACACAGAGTTTTCTTTAGTAAACAGACATTCTGCGCTGTGTACACTGACTTAGGCCACAGGGGCCTCAATAAGGGAGTGTCATCTTTGGTCAGTTCATGTGCAGCGCAAGTTCCGCATGTTCATTCTACACCGGAAGGCACCACTCACACGTCAGAGCAGCTTGGACGTCAGACAGCCGAGCTCGCAGCTGAGCCACGTGGCAAGGGCCAAGAGGAATGAATGGTCCAAGTGGTTGCTGGCTTGAGGTTGAATAGCTAGTGTCGCCTCATCTTCTTAAACAATCGATGTGTATGGGTTTGCACCCATGTGAAGTGGGCACTTGCACAACCCGTAGCCCCGAGAGCAGGCTGCCGAGCCAGTTCTCTGCCCTTCACTGGCTCTTGTTGGAGAGCAACCTTCTGTGACGTGTTTCAGACCCGGCTGTAAAAGCAATGAAGGGACCTGAGGGCTAGAAAAGGAAGGATTCTCTGTGCACACATCTCAGGCCTGCAGAAATACGGTGACTTGACAAGAGATAACAATGCAGGGTCGTTGTTCAGTGGCCCTCAAAGTCTCGCTGGGAACTAGTGTTCGCATAGAAAGCCATTCTCTGAATGAACATGATGCTCACAGCTGAAATATGGACCCCAAAAAATCCCTAACCAAACCTCATGGCTAAGACGTAGTGAAAAAGAAAGTACCTTCTCCTAAGGGAGCACTGCTGCTCTGGAAGACACGACCCTCAATGGAACCTGACTTGGGTGCCATCTGATTCAATAGGGTGGGCAGCTGGAGATGTGCTGGGTCCCACACACCAGCTTGGCAGTTTTCCAAAGCTCTTAAACCCTTCCTTACAACCTCCACCTTGGCCGGGTCCCAGGGCTGGCTCTGGCTGACGATGCTGGGAAAGACAGTGAAATGCGTCAGCTCAAACAGAACACCCAAACAGAAAGTAGCTCAGCACTTAGGTAAAACACAACCCCAGTAGTGGGTAGAGAATTCTTTCTACAGAGTGGGTCCGTGACCTTCCTGTGCGCTAGTCACCAGGGAGTACAGCCCGAGCCCTGGGAGAGGTGGAGGGCACAGGCCTACTTAATGTGAAACAAAACGAAACCCCCAGGTTCTCTGGGTAGACTAAAGGACTTTTGTTATTTAGACTTTGTCATAGACTTAATGTGACTATCCTGAAAAAATTTGGAAATCCCACAGTTGTTGGCATTTTATAAAAGTCTTCAACTACTCAGCAGATATAGATAACATAATAACTTTTTTCTATGATTAAAAACTACAAATAAAGCCTCCAGTTTTCTAAGGCCAGGCATGATCCTCTAGTGAGAACTTCGACAGGCCACCCAGGTACAAGGCTGGAAAACAATACCCAGGGGTTAGTTGTAGAAGAGGATGGCCCGGCTAGGGTCCAGCAACCAACCGTGTGGCGCGGTCTAACCTGAGACCGCGAAGGAATGTCCGGGCCTGTGACAGGCTGCCCCCTGCCTTCAACTCACCATTTCAAGAAGAGATTTCACACAAAAGCCTTTTCTCGATTCTTTGAGAAAGACGGCCAGGAAGTCTTTAGCTATGTGAGTACACGTGGCTCCAATCCCCTGGCAGTACTGGTGCCCTTCACAGGAGTGGGGCACACATACGCCCATTTCCTTAGCCCGGTGTTGGCAGTCTCAGCACACACACGTTAAAACCAACCTCAGCCTCCCCGAGGGTTGTGGAGACAATGTTCAGTGTTACTGATGAACCTGGCCTTTTTACAGTGGACTGCTTAGGACAGTATTTTGTAGACACCTTCTGCTTATGGTATATAAAAAAACAACTCTTCCAATTAGATTTAAATTTGGGCATCTTCAAGTGAGATCCCCAAAAATCACAAAAGTAAACTACACACACACATACACACACACACATAAAGATCACACGAGTTTCTCAGTGGAATCCACAGCATCAGCCGCAGGCCGAGTCTCTGTCTCTTAGCTCGCTGGGTCTAGGGCTCGGCTCAGGCCACCTCTAGGAAAATAATCCAGTGTAGTGACCCCTGGCTTCCCTCCCTCTGTTGGCGGCCCGGCCACAGGTTTGCGTGGAGTTGCCTGCCCTGTGTAAAGTGAGCACATCATACAGAGGTGAAGTGTCTGCTGATTCCCAGAGCGTCTGAAGGGTGGTTTCCTGTGCGTGTTCCTCCTCCGTTCGCCTTTATTGAAGTCAGTACCTCCCCGGCTGGGTAAATCGGAGATGTCACCGCCACTTGCGGTACCAACGGTTTCAGACTTGCTTCCAGGTGATAACCCTCTCCCCATTCTTTCAGGGACAACGATACAACTATGGCTCTATCTCTAAACACTGACCTGGGAGACACGCATGTGTGACTCTAGTCCCAGGGCAGTGGCAGGTCTTGTGGGTCCAGGAAGTCAGCAGAGAACATACTCGGCGTGGCACTGAGAGGCGTCAGTCCTGACGACGTGGCAGGCATGGTGATGTCCAACCACTCCATGTTGTCCAGGTTGGGGTCAGAGAGGTCAAGCGACAGGCAGGGAGGACCAGCAGCAAATTGGGCCTGGGAAGTTTCCATGGGGGAGTGGGAGTGGTCCAGGATGCTCGAGTGATGGAGCAGGTCACTCTGAAGGTCCTCGATCAGAGAGAAGGCCTCTCTGTCCTCACCGCTGCTTTGGAGTGGGGGGATCTCGTTGGCTGATGGTAAAGTTCCATCTAAGAAAGCTTCAAGCTGGTTCTCTAAAGTGGTGGATAAACTGCTCACAGGTCCTAGTGATACTGGTGGTGCCATCTGGACTTGGGGTGGAGGCCGGGACACCACTGTGTTGACTGGCATTGTGGTGATACTGGCTGTCACTGGCCTCATTTTGGAAATTGGAGAAGGTTCTTCTTTTATAGGGAGCGAAATCTCTGTGGGGAGGAATAGTAAGTAGTCAGTAAAGATTTCCTACTATCTCAAACCACCATTTGCTACCAAGACAACCATTTTGCTCTTGTGTGACTGCTCCCATGCACTGTCTTCTCGCTCTCGGTTAAAGGAGGTGGTCATGTACAGTGCTGGAGGACTTGTGGGCTGATGGGTCATCCTAGCAAGACACATGTCAGTTCAAGTGCCGTGGAGTTGGTTTCAACTACGGCGACCCTGTATAGGGTTTCTGAGGAGCAGCTGGTGAGTTTAAACTGCCGACCTTGCAGTTAGCAGTCCAATGTTGATTCTACAGCACCATTCCAGGAGTCAGATGTAGATTATTTTCCTTTGGGCCCTACTCAGTCGCTGCAGGCTTCAGCCAGGACTCACGGCTATAGTCAGCAGGTGAAACTGCTACCACAGTAGTAGGACGTCACGAAAGATCATGTCAAATGTCTACCCTGAGTTTGTGTAAAGACATGAAGGACATCCTTCACATTGTGAAAGGTGTAGTCTAATTTCCTGTTTTTCCTAGCATTATAGCTGAACTGTGTTCCTGATTTAGCCGGATAATGTCATTCCTGAATTACTACTAATGAAATGCATGCCTCCTTTGGTGTTTACTTGAAGATGCTGCTTGTCTGTATGACTTTGGGTAAATACGTTAGTAAGCACTGGCAACCACCTGCTACAGATAACCAAGTGCTCAATTGCTACGTATATTTGATAAAATGTCTTTTTACTCTTAAGAATGTCTCACTGGTTTTATTTCTACACATTTAAAGCTTGCAGAGAACTAGGAAAGATGGAGTCAACAACAATGACCTGGGTGGGCCCAGGAGTTGGCTCCTGTATGCTGTCAGTTTCATCTACGGCCTGGGTTACTCTCCAGTTAGCTGCAGGTGTCTCCAGAAATGTTCTGAAGTCAGTGAGTGTGATCCCGAGGGCCCAGCCTGACCATCAGCAGACTAACTCTGCATGCTGTGGTCCCTGGTGACAGTAGATACACTTATGGGGTACTCTGTGCCCTTTTCAAAAAAGAACTCGGATGTCACATGTTCCAAGTTTACAGTGTGAAAATGATTTTTAATTATGCTGTTGTTAGGTGCCATGGAGTTGGTTCTGACTCATAGTGACCCTGTACAGGGTTTCCAGGGCTGTAAATCTTTCATTAAGTCTTATTATCTTCATCAGGTTTGACAACAAAGATAAATTTTTTAAACCCTAAAATCAGGGAACTTACTTCTTTGACCTGAAGTTACTTGGAAAAGCTAATAAGAGTTCTTGGCAAGAAATATTGTTTGCACATCTAAATCTGTTGTCAACTGTCAATAATTACCAAACATTGCAACCTCAAATATTAAACAGTACCACTATTTAAAAAATAGGAAAAATAGGAAAAACTATCAGCCAGGTAAAGTTTGTTGTTAAGCGCTGTGGAGTTGGTTCAAACCCATAGCAACTCTGTGTAGTTTCCAAGGAGCAAGTGGTAAGCTTGAAGGGCTGACCTTACAGTTCAAATCGACTTTGCAGTCCAATGCATTAACTCACAGTGCTACACCAGGTCAAAAAATATTCTGAAATAGTGTTTGAATTTTTAAACTACAGACAGACAAATTTTGAAAGATAAACTGAGGGAGTCCTGGTGTGGCGCTGTGCAAACACTGTTTATATAGGAATATTTTTATCCTTTTTAAACCCTAAAATCAGGGCATGGAATGCTAGTTCTTTAATGTCTATAGAACAAGTTTTGAAATTTTTCAATGTGGAATTTTAATTGGGTTATACTGTTATCTGAGCATGGTAGCTCTGTAGGATAAGCACTGGGCTGCGAATCACAAGGTCAGCCGTTCTAGTCCACTAGCCGCTCTGTGGGTGAAAGATGTACAACATCGGAAACCCTATACAGGGACACTACGAGTTGGGATTGACTTGATGGCACTTATCAACAACTTATATGGTGGGTTTGAACTGCTGATCTTGTGGTTAGCAGTTCAGTGTTTATCCTATAGCGGCCACATCAGGGCTCCTCAGTGGAAATAAGTCTATGGATAATTCTATTATATTACTATTTTGAACTTTCCTTCCATTTATTCTACTTTGCTTACTGGCCTAAACTGAACAGATTTTAAAACTGTGTAAATTCCACGAGAAGACTATATTCCTCAGAACTCAGATACGTTATGGTGTCTAGAGATAAACTTCCATGTACTTTTGATGTGACCTCTGACCTACCTCCACTCTTAATGAGGATATCAAAAAGGTCGTCCATCTGCTGACTGTGCGCATTGGAAATCTACGAAGAAGGAGAACATCAGTGAGTTTTCTTTGACACCATCCTGGAACGTGATACAGTTTGCGAGTGCTCAGGGACCCTGAGGCACACCTCCTTCTCATGGGCTCTTTGATCATCTGAGGCACATTGAGGTCACTTTAGTTGAGTGAAGCTATGCCGTTTACTTAGGGCCTCAGCTGGCTAGTGGACAGAGCAGGAATGGGGTCAGCGCTGGGCTGGCTGCCTTCTAGTCTTCTCTAGCACTGAGTGTACTCTGAGAGCCTCCCACGGCACTAGTCTGGAAATGTCTTTACTAATTTGCATTTAGGTTAATATTTGTGTGACCAGAGCAGAACTTTTTTTAGCTGTTTTTATGTTTGTGTGTATGGAGGGGTTTCAAAAAGTTTATGAAAAACGGAATGAAGCAATAATGGAATTTCTTCTTGAACTTTCTGAAGTCCACTCGAGTGTGTATGAGGGGGGCTTCAGAAAGACTGTGAAAAGATTATTTTAATTGCATGAGTGTTCTGCTTGCAGACACACACCTATATAGGTGAGCACAGAAATACTATGTTGTGACATATGCATGCACCCATGAAACCACCACCCCTGAGATCTCCTTGGGTCCCTCTACCATAACACTGGTTCGCTTCCTCTCACGCTAGGTTTTCTCTGGAATATAAAGAGACCCAGACGCTGCACACTGGCGGTCTGGCTTCCGTCACTCAGCACGACCACTGAGATTTACCTATGTTGTAATGAGTGCCAATAAGTTCAGCCCATTACTGAGAGGTGTTCTCTGTGTGGAAACTACCAGAGTTTGTTCACTTTACACCTGTTGATGGGAATGAGTTATTTCCAGTTTTGGGCTACTATAAATAAAGCTGCAAAGAACATGCAATTCTGCTCCAACACCACAACTCAAATGCATCAGTTCTTCTACAGTCTTCCTGAGTCACTGTCCAACCCTCACATGTATATAAAGGTGCATCTTAGTCTGCAAAGGAGGAACAGAGGAACTAAAAAATAGGATGAACAGAACACAGCTAAAATGATAAGCCCAAATCCAACCAATTTAATTACATTATAATCTGCTAGTATATAATGTGGAGTCCTGGTGTGGCGCTGTGGGTTAATGCGCTGGACTGCAGTTGGTTTGAAGGGCAAGGTCGGTGGTTCACGCTCACCAGCTGCTCCTTGGAAACCCTATACAGGGTCACTATCGGTTGGAAGCGATTTGTTAGCACTTACCAAGCAACAAGAAGTATAGAATGAAATTGGTTCACTTTGGGTTTATCATTTTAGATGCCTTGGAAGAAAGTCTGAACTGGGTGGGAGATGAGGAACTGTGTGTGTCTTAGATGATGACTGCTCATGGACTAACTGCAGTTGCTCTTGTGTTCTTAATGACACAACAAAGTCTCAGAGGAGAGGGTCTAGACTTGGCTTGAGGCCACAGGGTTTGCAGGTGGTTATCAGCACCTGGAGGAATTCAGGTCAGTCCCTTCAAAGTGCGTTTGCTAAATATACAACCAAGTCCCTTGCATGGGCTAGTCTGCTGAGAACTACAGAGAAGGAAGCAGGAGAGAGTGGGTTTCCATGGTGGGCAACTTACACCACCAGCCAGATAAGAGAGTGTCACTTTGACACGCTTGCTGACTGGACAGTGATACCCTCAGTCACCCCGAGGGAGGAGCACACTCACTGACACGACATTAACGCCCTCACTTTCCCGAGGGAGGATCACCCTCGCTGACTGGACACTGACGCCCTCACTTAGCCCAAGGGAGGCTGCACTCGCTGGACAGTAACACCCTCACTTTCCTCCTGAGGTAGGACCGTGCTTGCCGACTGGACAGTAACACCCCACTCCCCCAAGGGAGGACCACGCTCGCTGACAAGACAGTGGTGTTCTCACTTCCCCACGAGGGAGGACCGCGCTCGCTGACAGGACAGTGATGTCCTCACTTTCCCCCTGAGGGAGGACTATGCTCGCTGACAGGACAGTAACACCCTCACTTCCCCCTGAGGGAGGACTGCGCTCGCTGACAAGACAGTGATGTCCTCACTTTCCCCCTGAGGAAGGACCGCGCTCGCTGACTGGACAGTGGTGCTCTCACTCACCTCTGGGAGGGAGGACTGTGCACTGCGAGTCTGTCTGACGGCCTCCTCATAGCGTGGAGGGTCTTTTGTCTTGGTGACGGGGTTCCCAAACAGGGAGTGCTGGACAACAAACTGTGGAGGCGGTGGGGGTGAACTGGGCTGTAAAAGATGGCGTGCAGGTTAGCTGTGCTCACAGTGTCACAGAGAAACGGCCCTTCCCAAATGACGAGCATGGTCTTTTCGGTTCTGTTACCCAGTCACCACTGCTGCTCCCTCATCCCCGAGTTACCTTGCTGGGGGTGCTCGGCCCGTTCTGCACTGTGGGAAGGGGAGAGTTTCTGGCTTGCAGAAGGCTGCTGGGCGTCTTAGTGATGAAAGGCTGCTGGACGGCTGGCGCATGTGGTCTCTGGTACGGGAGAACTGTCGCCGGTGCTGAGTTTGTGAAAACCTGAAAGGAACACACATTTCCCCATCAATTTCTTCTGGTGATGAAGTAAAGAAAACCATTTTAGAGTCCAGGAAGGTCAGACAGTAATTACTTTTGGCTTTGAGAATCATATGGTCTCTGTTTCAGCTACTCAAGTCTGCTGTTCAGACAGTGCATCAGTGCCAGTAAAACATCATTTAGAAAACCCCGGTCTGCAGGCTCCGGTTTGCTGCCTTGGTGGTCCCATTACTCCATGGCCTGGCTTTGAGGGCATTTAGTGGAAGAGCCAGTATTTGCTCCAGTTAAAGTTTCCCCTTAAAGGACAGCTGAGTTTCTTACATTCCTTCTCTACTGCCATGCTGGCGTGGATGCTGGAGGATCAGTGCTGCATGGCGACCACAAGGTCACCCTCTTGCCTGCCCTCGGTTTTTTCTGCAGCCACCCTCTTGATCCTGCTCTCGGTTTCATTTTGAAACTCTGCCTTCCTCTCGGCACACTCACACGACTCTGGAATTAACCTGTGTTCTCTGTCCTGGAGTCCCTGATCAAGCCCTCATTTGTATCGCTGCAATGAGGCCAAAAGCCCCGTTTCTGCCTCCCTGCTCATTGTCCTGCCACCAAAATTAAATTCTTAATACACAAACCAGCCCTGCTAACAAACTCCACTGGCTCCGTTGTCTTCAGGGTCAAATTTGAACTTACTAGCTGATGTGTAATCTTTATTGCAACCTAGACCCTCTTCCACCCTACCCTATACCTCACAGTGTGCCGAAGTCAAATGGAAGTTCTCATAGCTTTCTGAATCCCCTGCAAGGCCCTATCTAATTGACCCTCATGGGAGAATCTGCTTCATCCGACAGAGGTGGGGATTTCTTCCCAGAAACTCCAAATATTCTTTAGGCCACAAGGGGGTGTAGAGAGGTTAGGACCTTTTATAAACAGCCAGTACCACAACTGCATTTCAGAATGAGGTTTCCTCATGACAATCTTGAGTACAATTTATACCAGCAGTAAGGAGCCCTTGGGGCACAGTGGTTCTAACCCACCATTGGCTCTGAGGGAGAGGACATAGCCATCTGCTTCCATAAAGAACACAGCCAGGGAAAGCTAGGGGGAACTTCTACCCTGTCCTACAGGCTCACAAGGGTGGGAATTAATGCAACGGAAGCAGGTTTGAGTTTGGACTTTATACCATTAACATTCTGAAAGAGAAAGACCTCCTCTCTGTTCTATTGTCAATGTACGTTATCTCGTCACTGTGAAAGCAGGTATGAGAGTGTGCCCCTTAAACAGTATGTATGAGTGTGTGTGTCCCTCAGACAGTAGTATGTGTGTGTCCCTCAGTATGTATGACTGTGCCCCTCACACACTATGTATGAGTGTGTGTGTCCCTCAGACAGTATGTATGAGTGTGTGTGTCCCTTAAACAGTATGTATGAGTGTGTG